ATTTCCAGATTTCCATTTTGAGCAGCACATGCACTTGTCCATTGATACCATCGGAATCCTTTTTGTCGTGCCCACTGCATGATCGTAATATTGCCAACTGTGGCAATGGGGCATTGCAAAACATGATGACGATCAGGTTCTTCATTTCTGGAAATTGTCTTGAGCCAGTATTCTGCACGTGGCTGGTTACAGAATGTTTCACTGCTAAAGAGTTCCAGTGCTTTCCGCAGAGCGCCTGAGAGAATCCCATTCGCAGCTAGCAGGTTTATCGTTTACCTTTCTTGGATTTTTGTTGAGTTCAATTTTGCAGTACTCTTTGTACAGTTGATTCATCTTTTTGTTGACAGCTCCTACAAAAGCATACTGTCCAACACCAACAAAGGGAAAAATGCCTTGGACCAAAATCAAATCGTCAGCAAACAGAAGAGAATCAAAGGGAGGAGACATCTTCTGTTTCTTACTATTGGCAGCAGCAGCTCCTGCAGCTGATCTAATGCGAGCATCAGAAGACATGGTCAACAATGAGATCGATATAAGTAGTAGGCTCGATCGTTGGCTGGCTATCACCGTGGCCCCTCCGAGTGATTTGGGGTGGAGATGCTGATAACCACAAAGAAGTGGTGCCGCAGCTGTTGCGGTTGACGCCGGATCGCTGCTGCTGCAAATACAGTACAGCATTCGTGACGTCATGGGTGTGGGTCCGATTGAATCTTTCGATTGTACCGACTTCGATTCTGTAAAGATCTTTGGCGATCTTTTGTTGATTTGGTAGACTATAATACGTCATCCTCATTTATTCGTGTTCTCGAGATCTCGTCATTTCTTCCACCTTATTAACGATGTATCCCACAGTCCGGCGCGCAGAGGCAGAAAGTGCCAATTCGAACCCCACCCCCACCCCCAATGCAGCTTATTTTGCGGGGATGGGGGGTGCATCGATTTGGAGAAGTCTGCCTCTGAAAAGGAATCTCGAGGATGGAATCTAACTTTCATCTAATAATTTAGCTTCATCAGTACGTGGTTGTTCTGTCGTCTGTAATGAGAAAGATAGATACAAAGGTTAGATCTTCCTCATAGAACAAACCAAACAAGAACAGGGTATCTTACCATGGCTGACAGTGCAAAGAGACTCAGTAGAAGGCAGGCAGGTGCCTCTCCAGAGGTGAAGGAGACTCCCAAGCAATTGTCTTCCTTCCACAGACGAGATAGGGAGCGTAATCGTGGAGATTGGACATTCTTTCCACCCGGTTTGACTAGCCACACCAAAGTGACAAAGATTGAAGGAATAGACTTTCAATCACCGAACGTTGCTCCTCCAGCTCCAGCGAAGCAGTCGCATGATGTGACTCCCCTTTCCAGTGCTGAGCGACGAAGTAGGATGAAAGCAAGGAAGAATCCATTCCTAAGTAACAACAAAGGAGTAGTTGACACTAAGCCATCTGCCAAGTCGGACAACCAGCGCTGTATCATTGAAGAAAAGGGAATGTCAGAACTTATTGAGAGGAACACTCTCTGTTCCAGCTGCAAGAAGAGTAGAGTGAAACTTACTTTTCGACATTGTGGTGTTGCTACCATACCTCGAGTGTCTTGTACAACTTGTTCAATGAGCGATGAGGGTGATGTGGCAAAGACAAATTGGCAAAAGAGAACAGCCCATGAGCAACTTACTGATTATGAGCTGAACTTCAAGTTTGTTCAGGCCTTTGTTGGGTGTGGAGATGGTCCAACAGAAGCAAGTAGGTTCCTTACTTTCTGTTCAGTGCCGAATGCGACAACAATGAAATCGAACACATTTGTAGCATGGAAGCAGCTGCATCTTCCACGATCGAGGAGATAACAAGAGAACAACTTACAGCCAACCTGTTGAAGGAAGTGGAACTGACCATGGCGGAAGATAATGAATTCGAGGTCCAACTCTGGAAAAGAAACTTCAAGAGTGGCAGGCCAAGATGCAGTAAGAGTAGTGCAAGAGTTTCGTGTGGAATGGATATGGGATGGCAGAAGAAGGGTAGCGGTCGAACTTACGATTCTCATTCTGGGCATGCATGTTTGTTTGGGGCGAAGTCAAGGTTGCCGATTGCTCTGAGTACAAAGTCCACTCATTGCTCCATCTGCAGCTGGCACCGTGCCAAAGGCAATGATCCACCGGAGCACATCTGCACGGTCAATCACGTTGGAACAGCAGGTGCCATGGAGTCGAATGCACTTCTTGATATGATTCATGACCTGTGGAATAAGTTCAACGTGCTGGTGGAGGAAGTTATAACTGATGATGACAGTACCATGAGGGCAAGTTGTCGATGGTCCAACAAGGATTGGATGAAACACGAGAATCGAACTGACATCAACCTTCGCCGTGACAGTCGAGGGAAATGGGTCAAGAGAAAAGAAGGATATCTTCAATATCCAATTCCACCACCAACCTTCCTGGCAGATCCGGCTCATCGGAAGAAAAGTCTGAAGACTGTTCTGTACAAGTTGAAGAAGAAAAAGAAGTGTGTCAACAAAGGACTTCAAGAAGGTGACATCATCCGGTTGTCTCAGTTCTATATTTACATGGTGCGCCAAAACTTGAAGTTTGCAGAGGAGGAATGGGTCGAGAGAGCTGAGTGTTGCTTGGACCACCTGTTCGACAGTCATGACAAGTGTGGCGATTGGTGCATTCGAAAAGCAGCAACCGATGAGGAGAAGCAACAATCAACGAAGGTCTACCGTGACATGGTAAAAGACAAGGACCTGTATGACCTGTTGAAAGATGTGATGCAACCATTTACAACAATCGAAGCGATGAGAGAGGTTTGTCATGGGTATGATACAAATCCAAATGAATCACTCAACAACACAATCAGCTGGCTTGCTCCAAAAAACAAAACTTACTGTGGATCGGTATCCTTGCGCAACAGAATCTGTACCGCCATTTACATCCAATCAATGGGTTTCGATGGTTTCTATCAACGGCTATTCCTGCGGTTGGGTTTGGAAATGGTTGGCTTGACGCTCCACAGGATTTGAAAGGTAGAGGGGCAACGGGCATATCGATTGCAGGAATCCAGGAAAACCAAGAACAAGAAGCAGCGTCAAGAAAAGAACTACCACAAGATTAAGCTCTATTTCGAAAAGCTTGCAGAGGATAGAGCGAATGGCAAGGAATATAAGAGGGCCATTGCCATGGTCGGAAAGCAAAAGCAGTCAAAGCAAAGTATACAGTGTAAATTTTGTGGGCTTTACGGCCATAAGACCAAGAGAGCGAAGGCGTGCTTGTCGAATCCGAAGCGACTGGCAGAGCAGGCGACCACAACAGATCATTCAGAAGTCACCAGTAATGAAGACGATAAAGGGGAAGTCCTGCTTGATGATGATACAAAGTTCGGTCTGGAGGTTTCCTTACTGGACAGTTTGCCGATAAGAGAGGACGATTCCGAGGATCTTGACCGTTTGGCGAACGATCTAGATGTTTGCGATGATGACATCAATGAATGAATCCGGGAAATTTTGATAGTAATCGCTAGTAGTTATTGGGCTTATGTTTTCTCTTCAACTAGCGACTACCGCATCCATCTCCAATATCGAAACAACAAGTTGACACGATACAGTCAACTGAAGCACAGGCGTACTCTCGCACAGGCGTACTCTCTCACACATACTACTCCGAATCAGAGGAAGAAATCTCATTTTCTTTTCCTGTTGACTTCGAAAAAGCTTTCTTGTTGACACTCTTGGCTTCCGCCATGGTGATCTTCTTCGCTTTCTTGCCGGTGTACCTTTCAGCAGCCCTCTGTCTTTTCGTCTTGAAACCGGTATAGAGCGCACTGGCTCCACCGTAGCACTGCTTGATGTACTTCTCGACGCACCACGGAAGGGGCACGCACTTACCTTTGGACGCACGGAAGAAGTTGCTATGATAATGCTGGTAGGAGCACCACCTCTTGGTCTTGTCGGACAATTCTTCCCATTCCATGCCGGGGTCCATCACATGGGGATGCTTGCAATAAGGTGAGAACGCCAAGATGACCGCATCCTTGTCCATCATGTCGACAGTGTACTGTTTGGCGATGCAATTCTTATAAGCGAATGTACTCATGCAGACACACTCCGTCACCTTTTCTTCATCGTCAGACTCCACCCACAGATCACGCTTCTTCGCGGCTGCAGCCTTCTTATCATTCATGCGCATTACCCAAGCCTTCTTGGTGTCACCGGACATTATTCAATTACCTTCAGAATACTCCGAGCGAAGAACTTCTGCCCTGACATAGGAATTCCAACGATGAGCCTGCCTGGATTCCCTCCTCTCTTCCGTGAAAAGAAGATTTCCATACTTCATGTTGTTGTCGATGGTGCAATGGTAGAAGTGAGTGATTCGCCTAGATGGAGCGCGGAAGTTTTCTTCCTCATCAAAGATCTGGCCCCAAGGCCTGGCCTTCTCTTGAGGACCGACATATGGTAAGTCAACATCGGGTGGGTACACCCAACCACAGTCTTTGATTAGCATTATCATTTTGTTCGACAGCTCATCAGCTGACTGCAATCTTACAATCCGGAAGTCAGGGACAATGAGCATGGAACCACACATCATCTCTTTACCTTTCAACCAACCAGCAAGAGAAGTGTCGGTCACTGCCTTGATGATACCGAAAGAACCATCCAGCAACTGCATCACCCAAACAGTGAAGTGTATTCCAGTTTTCGGGTAGCTTCGAGTCTGTCTTTCAAAGGTGAGCAGAGTGAAGCGAGGACGGTTCTCATTGCCTTCAAGAATCTTGATTGAACCATTCTTATGAACATACTTTGTCTGTACATTGTCCTCTCCATGCAGCAAGAGGTCGGTCAAGAAGTCTGGAGATGCATCATCATAAGAGTCATGATAGAAGTTACGATTGTACCGTTCATTGTCAACCTTCTTCACAGTCGTCATCTTCGCCGTTTCCTACCAACAAATATTGACGAAAATGGGGATCTCATTTCCAGGATTCCATTGCGAGCCAGCATGGCATCTCCAAAAGCAGCGAAAGGACCACCATTTCTGGGTATCAGAAGGGGCCAACAGAAACAACAATCGCTTTTCCGACGCTGCTGCTGTCGGTCTATTATCTTTGCAAGCAAGGCTACCCCAATGACGATGCGAGTATGTCGCATGGGTAAGTTGAGTGTGCTCTATCGATAGCTGTTAACTCTGCCACTTGTTGTCCTGTGCCTGTTGAGCATCTCTCACTCCAATCTGACAACTCTCTTTTCGACAAGCCATGCTAAACAGTGTTAACTTCTCCGGAGAAGGCAGTAAAACGTGGCAGGCAAGGGCGATCGAGCAAGAGCATCCCTTTGGCTTTCCAACGCGATACCCCTCGCCTTCTATCTCTAAGCATAGCATGTGCTGTCGGCACTCTTATAACTGTATTGGCAATTGCAGTTTTCCCATTGTTTCGCCCGCTTTGTCGAGTAAATTTGGCTCTCTGATCCTGACGACGGCCAGACCTTAGGATACATCGTTAAACTGAAAGACATAAAGTTTCACGTGAAACTAAGTTTCGCGCAGGCAAGTTGCGTGAAATTACACTAGTAGTTTCCCCTGTGCGCACACGTGCAGTACTGTACTGCTACACTACCATACCGGTAGCTGGTGAAACCTGGGACTGAGAAGTCAGTCCCGCCGCGCACTAATAGTGCGCGGTGCGCACTAATAGTGCGCGCCGCGCACTATTAGTGCGCGCCGGGACTGACAATTTTGACGATTTGTTTTTATAAAAAAAGACAGATGCCATGGTCTGACCGGTGTCGAGACTTCGAGCTGGTTGCAAGACAGCTCATAGTCTTCCCAGGAAATGGCGTGAATTTTTATTAAATTTGAAACTTTGGTTTCAAGCAAAGTGAAATTTTAGTTTCACGAAACAAAACGCGTGAAACGTTAGTTTCACGCTTGAAACTATTGTAAAATTTCACGCGTGAAACTAGTACTAGTTCTACGCAGACTGCGTGAAACTAATAGTTTCGCGGTGAAACTGGCTAGGGATGGTGAAACTGACGGTTTCAAGCAGTCCGTACACACCCCAATCTTTCGGAAACAAAGCACACTGATGCCCAGATTTAATGATGGTATTATACCGGAAGAGGAGCAGAGTGCACAGAAGCATGCATTGTTTTACGAGAGCGAGTTGTAGATAGCTAATCAATCGATTCGATTCACTAGCTACATGTATGATAGTATTAGTTGGCTCCAGGTCTTCTTCTGCGATACAAGGGTGACGTGAAAAGCGAAAAGGATTGTTCATTTTCATAGCGCCGTTTCAGAGTCTCGGTCATTTTGTCTAGCATCCGTTGATTTGCGGTTTGCATATCCGGCAAGAGATAGTACTGTGGCAGTGGAATTTCCGACCTGTATCCGGTTTTGAATTGGTCCCGGAGCTGCTTGGTGGGTAGGACTCGTCGCAATATGGCGGCCATCATGTTGAATACCAGGCCGGAATTGTAGAATCGACACTGTCCAATAAACGGGTAGACGCCAATGAACTCATCAAATTGTTTCTGTATGATTCGAAAGTCTTGTTTCTTGGTCCAGCTCCATTGCTCGGCTTCTGCCATGACGACAATCCCCTTTCGAATGGAATCCATGTCGGGAAAGAACGCGTTGTGGAAGTAGTGGGTGCCCCCCATAAAGCCATTAATCTTGGCACTGGTGGTAAATTGTGTGGAATCGAGTTTGGTGGGATCGTTGACAAATACATAACAGCCGAGCGATGGGCTAAAGGAAAAGTCCAAAAACTGTCCCGGAGACAAGTCAAACATTTGCTTCATTCGGACAGCGGCATCCTCTAAAGTGTCGCGCACGTAATATTCTTGACGAAAGTGTTGGTGGACAGTAGCACGCGCCTTGACAGTTTCCAGATCGCCTGGTGGACACACAATCGCATATTGGGCGTACATGAAATCTGTCAAATTATCCAGTTCGGCATCTGCGACCAGGGCCTCTTTAATATCGAGCGCCCAGTTCCATTCCGCCTCGGTCAGTCTCATGCGGCGAGGATCGTATTCGTCCAACACGAGGGTCAGCAAATCTTGGGCTTCCGCAGTGCCATCGTTATCATCGTTCACGCTGCTGTCGTCGTCATCATCATCATCCTCGGAGTTGTGACTGCTGCCAGTAGAGTCTTCTTCGTCTCTTTCTATTTCCTCTTGTGGAACATGCTCAACCCCCCTTTCCACTGCTCTTTCTTCACGTAGCACTTCTGGAGCTTGCAACATGGCGACAAGTAAGTATTATGCCAGTGTGCCTCCCGCGGCTGCGACGGGATACAGCTTACAATTCAGCTTTACAGCTTTACAATTAGCAGGCTTATTCTAGAAAATAATCAATAACTGCTCACTTATTTGGAAATACAAACTTTACATCTCTTAGATCGTTAGATTAATCAATCCACAATGGTATTGTCGCATGGTAGCATGCGAGGTTATGAGATGTTACTCATTCTTATTCTTATATGTCACACCCCCCTCAATTGCGCCGGGAGGAGCCGTCCCATGGGAAGGCCACGGTCGATTGGTAGAACCCCCCTGGATGGGTAACGACTCGGAATTAGAAGATCGGGATCTGTTGCCCTATCTGCACCCGTCGCAGAATTATGACATCCCTGTCATCCCCGAAAAAATAGCATGCGCGGGGACTCCAACTGTTGGACTGGGACAGGGGAGGAAGCGCCATGTGGGCATCATAACCTCACAGTCGCTTTAAGAAGAGACATCGGGTTACACAGGTCCGAAGAAAAAGGGGAAAAAAAAAAATTTATTTGGGAATTGCAAAGTATGAGTCTGGGTCTGGGTCTGGATCGGGATCACAAATGTTTTGGCCGATTTGAAGCGTGGAAGAACAAGTTTTGTTGATGCAAGATAGCCACTGAAGAAATGTATAACCTTTGAACTTTAGAAGCAACAAGTTGTAAAACCAAAGAAAGACAAACACACATTCGCACCCGGAGACATAGTCCAATGAGGATATGTTGGGGAAAGATATGGGAGCAAAGACAACATCAGCCATTTTAGCGGTGGGACTGAAGAAAGGTTGCTCCTCCAAGAATCAGGGCTAGAATCTCGAAGTGTATTGATAAATGTCTGCATAGCAGACTTATCTTCTCCCTCCAATACTAGAGAAGGAATAGACCCGAGACAGAAAGGCGTACAAATGGCGCAAAAGAATAGGCAATGAGAAACACTGTTGCCAACTGTGTTATTCTGCCGAAGGCCATCACATGAAAGCCCCCATTTGAGTAGCTGAAGAGAGAGCGGAGGTCTCGTCAGAACTGAGATCTACCGCTGCCATGTTGACCTGCATGGAATCAAAATCATACCCAACATGGGGAATGGCGTGTATAAAATCATCAGTGGCAAGAACAGGGACATCAGCAGCGGGAATAGGTAATCCCATGTGGGAAGAAGCAAGGTTGCCACCAGACGTGATTGGAGCCGAAGCTGGAGCAGGTGGTGGTGGAGTAGCATTGCCACAGAAGAGGGTGCCTTGTAAAGAAACTTGCGGAACCCACCCACGATGTTCACTGGTTAAGTGGGCACTGGTTCCTTTTGAGAACCTTCCACAGTTGTGACAGTATTTAGCAACCACCTTACCATCAACAGAAATGGTGTGTTGGGCATCATCGGTGATGTTCTCCCTTGGAGGCATGAAGCAAGCTTGTCTTTATTAAGAGTAGTGAGTTTGAAGTTGGTTTCAGCACTCAGACCGTTGTCCTTGGAGCACCTCGCTTGGGACATGCTGGATCGTTCTATGATGATCAGTAACTCCACAATCAAAGCAGGCGCCTCCACGAGGACGGGTACCGACACTGGCTGACCCACTGTACCGCCACTGGCTGACCCACTGTTGCGATCCTGGTGAGATTCCCAACTTTTGCCTCAACTACTTTGTCAATTGCTGCCTGGAAGGCTTTGCCTGGAATCCCTTGGATCCAAGATGTTGGCAGGCTCATAAGTTTTCTGGTTATGAGGACCCGATAGAGGGCATACAAGTCATTCAAAGTATCGACTGCTTCCAATTGTTTGTTCCCATAATTGCTATCAAATCCGTTGATGTCACTCTTGACAACAAGCTCATGGACTTTGGATCGAAAGTATGGACAACCACAGCAAAGGAGACCTCTCAGGGATGTGCTGGTTAGTTCAGGCATGGGATCACTGGACAAAAAGTTCAATCGAATCTCATTGATGATCTTGCTTGCATCGACAACTTACATGGAAACATTCTCCCAGGGAAATTTTGGTGATGTCCAGGTGAAGTAGCTTGGCTTTGATGGTTTCAATCTTACTGAGAGAAGGTCTGTATATTTTCTGCAGAGGAGCCAAGAGAAGCTGGGTCCCATTGTGTTTGGCTCGAGTAACATATGATTTGAGTTCCTCCTGGAGAGCATCAGTGCGAGAATTTAGAACAGCCTTTCCTGAACCAGGCAAGGTTTTGTCAAATCGTACTTGGACAACAGGATGTTGCTTCAGAGTCCCAGCATCGATGAGTCCGATCCCATT